AAGGAATATCTTTCTAATATGAACTTATTTTTAATGTATTAAATTAAATTATATTAAATTAACGTAATTGCATTTCGCTAAATTGATCTAAACTCTGAGTGGGATTTTCCACAGCCGTTAAAGCCCAACCACTTATTTAAAACTAAGAATCCTTTTAAACAAACAGCTTCCAAAATGAAACTCTTCAAAATATGATTCATTAGATTCAGATAGACCAACCATATAAAATCTATCCATCCATCCATCCATCATTTATTCATTTACACTTTGCATAGTTCTAGGCAGAAAAGCAAGATAATGAAATGCATTTTATTATGGCTAAAAAATTAGTTGACAAAGAAATACAGAAAATATAATTCTTTAGTGCCCATTGCTGGTTATCCACACATTTGCAGTCTAGCTCCTGTAGGCATGGATATAGATATATTGAGGATGGAATCAATTTAATATGCTAAAATTTATGGTAAAGTTCCAAGAAAGAGATGGTTAAGAATTACATTATTAACCCCTGAAGGGTTCAAGTACCCACATGGTTTCAAGCAAATTGTTTTAACCTAAATAATCCTCTTGGGAAATCAATTCCCTATTTGTCTGTATTTTCCCACAATATCACCCATGAAGTGGCATGTCAAAACTGGAATTGTACAGTATGAAATATACAATGTATACATTTCCTAACAGCAGATGTGCAAGGATTTCTTTTGAATCACTATACATATCATCTTAGGCTTTGACATCAACAATATAAACAGTATTATTTAAATGTTAAAAGATTATCTAATTTTAAGTGTACGTAACATTACTTGTACGTAAAGCTCACATAGTTGCAAATGCATAAGCATTTATAAGATTCTTTAGAAAGGGAACATTTAGGTCAAATCTTTAATACTAAGTGCTAAGTACTACTAGAAACTTTATCAGGGACAATGAAAAATATAGAACTGTGCTTGTCAATGACAATTTTCCATTTTCATAGAAATTGTAATGTCCGGAGACAAAATGTTTCAGACAGTTCATTAAAAAATTGCTAAGACTGCTAAATAGCAATTGCTAATTGCTATTTCTATTTCACTGCCATTGATTTCAATGAAGACTTGAAAAATATGCTTTCATAATAACACCACTTTCCAATCCAAACTATTATCTGTCAACACTGTACTGAGTGTCTCTAAATATGTACATGAAATGAACCTTTTAAATAAAGAGAAGGATGCTTTTTATGTAAGACTGCACAAACAAAGCAATTATTCTGATGATTTATTTTCCAGTATTTATTTCTCATCCCAATCCTAATAGACTCTGGACAAGTAACAATTGGATAAAATATAGAGTCTGAAATCACCTAAATAAAAAATAGAACACATAAATTAGGCACCCAGAAACAATAAGGACTGAAAGTATGTTCAAACAGAACAACTTTGACTTACAGTATATCTTTGATGTGCAAAAAGCAGATAATTTCAATTTTGGACCAACAACACTTTAGGTTCTAAGCAGCTAAAGGCTTGAAAATAAGCAGAGATCTACATATGAGTATGAACAATTCTGATGCAGCTCTGAAAGGCACAGGATGAGGAAGAAGGATTTACAAGAATAGGTAAATTCTGCATGATATTAGACCTTCATCCAGGGCAGAAAGTTGGAGGCCTTTTTCATTATGCAGACATCTGGATCAATTTATATGCTGCAACTTTTAGAACCTCAGAACCCTTTTACTTTTCCCCTGAAGACTTTGCTTCAACATTTGATTGCACATTAAGAATAGAAAAAGTGGGTTCTCTTCTTTACCCACAAAATGAACAAAATCTGTACTTCTTCCTGCATGAGATAGTTCCTTTCTTATTTAATTCGCCAAGGTGGCAAACATTCTCTCCTATCAGAAAAGAAGACAGATGATAAAATAAAAACTGTAACCCTGAGCTATCTATGCATTATTAATTTCTTTTCAAGCACTTTGCCACATGCAAAGTGCTTTATCGTAAGTAGCTCATTCATAAATCATGATTTACTAATAGATCTCAATCATATAGTGTATATATTTTCTCTTTACACTATGCTGTTCAATCTCAGAATACTTCTCTAAGGAAAAGTGCTTTCTGAACATGAATAACCATTATTCTCAGAGTAATGATAAAAAGAACATATTTCTAGAAAGAGCTCTCCTTTGGAATTATTCTGTCATTAATTTTATTGAATGCAAAGAACGGGAAAGAGAGGCTTTCTTCCACATATACAATTTTTCTAAACATACTTCGTAATTTTTCATAATGAATAAAAATAGGAAGAAGCCTAACCTTCGGATAATTTTAGGTTAAATGAACTTAGAATCAAAAGAAATAAAAATTACTGTACAGCAGTACATAGTAGCAGACACTATAGCTAAACATTCATAACTCCTGGATAAGGATTATATAAATGAAATAAATATGTGAAACAATTTCTTGAACCAATAATAGTAAGTAATAGCAATAGCACTTAAGACTTATATACTGTTTCACAGTGTTTTACAGCCCTCTTTAAGCGGTTTACAATGTTACCATATTTCCCCCAATAATCTGGGTCCTCATTTTACTGACCTTGGAAGGATGGAAAGCTGAGTCAACCTTGAGCCGCTCAGAATCAAACTCCTGGAGTGAACAGTGAGTTTAGCCTGCAGTATTGCATTCTAAGCACTGCACCATATAATATTTAATAATATTATATTAAATATAATAAGATTTATAATAGATGTTATTATATTTTATAATAATTTTGTTATAATTATATTCTGCATTTTTTCTTTATAGTGTCCAGCAAGATGAATATTGTGGGAAGTTAAATTCGGTTCTCCCTAAATATACATACAGTCCCTGAGTCCCTAGGGAGAAGGGCGTTATATACATTTGAAGTAAATTTGAAGTAAAATACATCAACTGAGTAAATATGGTTAAATATTCTGTTTCATTCTATTAGCCACACGAAACAAAACAGTTGGTAGAGACAACATACCTATAATTGCATACACACAAACACAATCCCTATTCAATGATTACAATGGCACTTGAAAAAGTGACCTATGACCGGTTTTCACACTTACAACCGTTGCAGCATCCATACGCTAACTTAACAAATGCAATGATTCACTTAACAACCATGGCAAGAAAATTCATAAAATGGGGCAAACTCAGGGGTAAAATCCAGCAGGTTCTGACAGGTTCTGGAAAACGGGTAGCGGAAATTTTGAGTAGTTCGGAGAACTGGCAAATACCACCTCTGGCTGGCCCCAGAGTGGGAATGGAGATTTTGCAATATCCTTCCCCCAGGAGTGGGCAGAGAATAGGGATTTTGCAGTATCCTTCCCCTGGAGTGGGGTGGGAATGGAGATTTTGCAGTATCCTTCCTCTGCCACACCAAGCCATGCCCACAGAACCGGTAGTAAAAAAATTTGGATTTCACCACTGGGCAAACTCACTTAACAAATGTTTCATTTAGCAACATAAATTTTGGACTCAATTATGGTTGTAACTCAAAAACTACTTGTACTAAACTTCATTAGTACAAATGAACTTAGGAAAACTACATTTAGAAAACAAGACAGAAAAATAAACATATTTTTGATCCTTGCAATTGCTTTAAAGTAACTAAAATTCCTTCTCAAATTAAATGCAATAATGACCTTAAACTGTATGTTGCCGTCTATTACAAAGTAGCCTTTTTGCAATGACAGACCAAGCTGAGAAGCAAATTGCAGTTAGGATTCTAGTCTTGCAACATTTATATTTAATCTAACTGTGCCCTCTACTGGCTTTAAAGTTACAGGACAACAGTAAGAACAAAAGTAACAGCACTAATCCCTTTTTTAAAAAATAAACAAACCTCTACAATAGTTATTCCACAAAACAATTAAACAGGAATTACTCAAGTTCCAGTATCCAGAAGTTTTTCAACATTTATATGATTATATGCATTATATGTGTATGTGTGGTTTTATCCAATAATTCTCAATCCTTGATTTATTGGAAAGAAAATTGGCCTTCTAATTTTAAATCCTGATTGTCTAAATACCAGTTGCAAATCAGCATTTTTAAAAAGGAATTCAAGAGACCATTTTAGCATATCTCTCATGTACTTATTGCAATAAATGCCTCTCACATTTAAATTAGGAAACATACTTATTTCTTATTTAGAACGAGACTTCTTGTCATTTAAGTTTTTAGACCACAAAGTAGGAAGTAAGAAGTGGCTTGATTACTGAAATAATAAGAATAATTAGTAGAGGGATAAAAACACCAAATCTAGTCTAAACATCGGGATGACCACGCGGCCAACCATAATAATAACACTGTTCAAATAAATCACTGCTCAACACTGTCCATATATACAGCCAATGGAGTTTGAATTGGACAAATGTGCCACTTTTACCATCAATGGAGGAAAATAGAGAAAACCAAAGGAATCAAGATAGCCTATGGAAATAAAATCAAAGTCTGGATGAAGATGGTCATTACAAATACCTGGGCATCCTTCAAGCTGACATCAAACATAGTGAGGTCAAGCAGAAGATTACAAATGAATACATTGTGAGCCTGAAGATGATTTTAAAGTCCAAACTATTAATTTTTTAATAAGTCTCACAGTCTTCACTTTATTTCCGAGTACTCTTGTTTCTGAATTGATTCTGGTGGATAAGTGCTATCTTATCCACACAAATGGAAGTTATCTGTTTTGAAACAGTGGGATTTGTTTTGTGTAAAAATGCATAAAATGTCAAGGACTAAGCTAGACATGATGTCCTGACTGTTAACAAAATAGCTATGACACTGACCACAAAACAAGGGTGTAGGTTGATTCCTCATATGTTTTTTCTGTATCTGGAGAGGGATTAAAAATATGCATTTCTTTCATGATTCTATGTCCTCCAGTATCTCAAAAACCCAAATGCAGCTTTGGAAGCAAGAGAGATATTGCCCACCATTCACATGAGGCTATGCCTGATTGACATTGATATTGAAACACGTTACCTTGACAGTCTTATCCATAGAGGCAGAAAGCAACATATGGCTCCACCTCTGCAGAGGACACCAGCGAACTGCATTGACTGGTCCACTATGCTCAGCCATCTGAAACACCAAGTTCTTTGGAATTTCAGTAACTGCATATTTTGATCCTATGTATGGCATAATATAGTGGGAAACTTTAACTGTCATTTTATCTTCAGCTGTACTTAATTTAACTGGAGAAGATACACTCTCTTTTTGGTATTCCTTTTTTTCCTTTTGCAGTTTTTTTGAAACATATGGTCTCAGTTTTTGAATAGTTACATCTCCATCATTATGCATCCTCTTCTGAGCATATGCATTTCCAGAAGGTATTTTAGGTTCCAATAAAGGATTTAATGGCTGGGTATACTTAGTCCTTGTTTTTGTCAAAGTACAATTTCTGTTGACCTGCTGTTGTACTGCTGTTATTATAGTCTTTTCATTAGATTGTAGATGCTGTTGAAAGGTATCTTCATAAGACATCTTCTTTTTGGAGCTGCCCATGTATTCCACAGATTCGACTTTTGTCTCAGAAATAATATTTAAGTCATCACTGGGCTGAACAACAGCCGCAGCAGAATCTGTTAGATTGATTTCACTGCTAATAACATCTCCGGATCTCCCAGTCTCTGCTTCAGAATCCGAATCATCATAAGCAACAAGGGAAAAACTCATTATGTGAACTGGGGGGTGGGGGTGGGGGGGACCCTGAAATGTACCGGTACGTCTTTGGATTCTCATCAACAATGAGTAGTTTCTGTAATGAAAGCACAAATACAAATAGTCACTTTAAATAATTCTGTTTCATATCTTTCTTACTTAACAAAAGTCATCATAATTTATTTCCAGAGTTTAACAATATTTGTACTTTTAATTTCTTAGTGTATTTTAATTAATTTATTAATTAAATATCATTCATTCATTGGCATCCTTCAGTCTCAAAAGACTATGGTATTGTGCTCTGGAAAGAAGTCCTAAAACAGTATCTAGTGTGACTAAAAAGGCCAATTCGAGAGTGGCAATCCCTTCCATGCTGAGGGCAGATACATTCTGTCCACTGCCCAGCCCCCAGATTTCGCTGGTTCTGGGACTGTCTCTTTGCCTCAGCCTGCCAAACAAGTGTCTCTTCGAACTGGAGAAGGCCATGCTGCGTCTTTAGCCTCCAAGTTAAATGATCGGAGGTCAAGGTTTCCCAGTAGTTAATGTCCATTCCCAGGGTCTTTAGATCTCTCTTGCAGATATCCTTATATCGCAGCTGTGGTCTCCCTCTGAAGCACTTTCCCTGCACTAATTCTCCATACAGGAGATCTTTCGGAATCCAACCTTCAGCCATTCTCACGACATGCCCAAGCCAGCGTAGACATCGCTGTTTCAATAGTGTATACATGCTAGAAATTCCAGCACGTTCCAAGACTGCGCTATTTGGAACTTTGTCCTGCCAGGTGACAAGAATACATCGGAGACAGTGCATATGAAAGGTGTTCAACTTTCTCTCTTTCTTTAATTAATTAATTAATCTTTCTAATTAAATAAATATATTAAATAAATAATTATTAAATTATTCATGTAATTTGCTGTCCAATTTTCATGGACTCAGCTTACAGTCAAAATCAAATATAAATATCAACAGCAACAACATGTATAAGCATCTGTAATAATGCATTTAGGCATTAATATCCACATTAAAATAGCTGTTGCAATACCTATAATACCTGTTATTAAATATTAAAATATCCATTGTGAGATAAAAGAATCTAATGATTAAGAAATAACCTGAGCAAAAATCCCTATGAAAAATGCACATATCTCCATTGAAAATTAATATCAATCAAAAAAGAATAATCTAGAAAAATTCTGTCTTCACAGATCTCCAGAAAGCTTGTACCATACAATACAATCTAACATCTAGAGAAAGACTGCTCTATAAAGTTAGTGCTAGTATAAAACAGCACCTCCTTCTCATTTCAGCATCTGACTTTGCAAAAATGCAGAAAAATCAAAAGCCTCTCCCTCCCTGATCATACAGGGCTGGTTAATTCTAGCTCAAGAAGAAGCTCTTGGAGTTACTATATAATCAATAAAATGACAGTCTCAAAATACTAATTTGGCTGACATATTGCCTTTTCCCAACTAAGATAATTTTACACATTTGATAAATTTAAAAAAACTGTCATGGAGCCAGCACTTCTGTTTTTATAAAAAGCAAATAGAGGCCCATGTTCAGTTAAATGAACCAATAGATCAATAGATATAGAGGTGTGAATTCAGTGTGTCTAACGGTCTATGTAATAAACATACATTTAAGGCTAGCCAATTAGCCCAATAGAATACTGAAACATTAACAATTTGATATATGAGACAATACTACTTGTACCCCTATAGTAAAAAAACAGCTTGGATTTAGAAGTGTTCACTATGAAAGTAAACATGGAAAATGAAAAATCTGGATTATTAAATATTAAAAAGACAATCATGTTAACTAGCATGCTTAGCTGAACTCACAGGTGACAGCAAAAGTGATACTTTTTTTTTCTTGAGCTCAGAGATAGATTAAGCATTACAAAGAGTGCAGAGAAGAGCAACTAGGAGATTGGGGGCTAAAATATACCAAGAACAATTGCAGGAATTGGTTGTCTAGTTTAATGAAAAGGGGTGACATGATAGCAATGCTCCAATATTTAACAGCTGCCACAAAAAAGGGGGGGAGGGTCAACCTATTTCTCAAAGCACCTGAAGGCAGGACAAGAAGCAATGGATGGAAACTAATCAAGGAAAGAAGCAACTTAGAACTCAGGAGAAATTTCCTGACAGAACAATTAATCAGTGGAACAACTTGCCTCAAGAAGTTGTGAATGCTCCAACACTGGAGGTTTTTAAGAAGAGATTGGACAACCATTTGTCTGAAATGATATAGGGCAGGGGTCTGCAACCTTAAGCACTCAAAGAGTCATTGGGACCCGTTTCCCACAGAAAAGAAAACACCGGGAGCCACAAAACCTGGGTGGGAGTGGCCAACTCAATGTCACTCACTTCCACCAGTCACATGACACCCCCCTAGCCACGCCTACCCAGCCAGTCATTAGGGCAGAGAACCAGTTGTTAAAAAACACTGGGAACCACAAAAACCTTTTGACATATCTCTCTCTCCCCTCCCCCCCACTCTCTCTCCCCCACTCACTGTATCTCTCTGTCTCTACCCTGGCCACTTCTCCATCCCCTGCCACCACCCTTACCTTCTCAGGCCAGGCAAAGAGTGACTGGGAGTGGAGGGCGAGGGGTGGGGCCAGCCAGTGGTGGGATGACCTGACAGGGAGCCACAGCAGAGGATCCAAAGAGCCGCACGAGGCTCCGGAGCCGCAGATTGCTGACCCCTGGTATAGGGTTTCCTGCCTGAGCAGAGGGTTAGACTATAAGACCTCCAAGGTCCCTTCCAATTCTGTTATTCTGTTATAAATGAATGCGCTAAATAAATAAAGATTACCAACAGCAAAGCAAGAACTACTTAGGACATTTCCCAAAAGTAGATGATACGTTTGAAAAAGCAACTTTACTTGGCATGGCTGAAAATAGAAGGCAAGGAGAAGCCAGCTCCTGCATCTTTTCACACTAGGCAATTTAGCAGGTGGAGATGGGGGGGACACAGAATCAAACCACTGCTAATCAGCCTGAGACTCTGTCCTCTCTCCGGCCAGGCTGTTTAGGAAATAGACGCTTTTACAAAACGTGCTTCGGTACGTTTACTTCCTCTCTTAGGACAATCAAGCTCCAGATCGCTCTGGAGCTTGATAGCTACCAACTGTAACCGTTGCCATTGAAACAGATCCTGAGTGGGCCGGGGATTTAGCGAATAAGGAAGAAAAAAAATCCCTAGTCACTCAAACCATTGACCTAAAGGGGGATCCACTTTACAGCAACACTACCTGAGAGCAGCCTCCTCTGACATCCGATTTAGATCGCCTTGCAGCGCGGCCACATCCTTTCCTCGAAGAAAGCCTCCCCTAGGAAACTCGACTGGCTCTCAAACGTTCCTGTCTTACTCTCATGAGCGTCAATCTGCGTAGGAGCAATCTGTATTTTATCTTTTTTTTTAAAGGAGAGTTTGGCCTCTCTGACGGAACCCTTCCCGCAGTTGAGCTCGCAGGGCGAAGCGCTGTCGGTTTTTCTTCTCCTCCTCGTTGTCCTCAGTTCCGGGGCTAGGGACGCCTTTCCTGATCGGAAGACGATCAGCGTCGCACGAGCTGTGGCTCTAGCTGATGCAATGGGGCTGCTCCTGCCGGAGAGCCGCTGAAAGAAGTGGGGATTCCGCGGACGGGTAAGGTAAAAAAAAAAAAAAGGCAGGTAAAAAGAGGCAGAGCGGGGAGGCCTCTAGCTATCTTGAAAAGTCGGCTGGGGATCGGAGGAAAAGAAAGGGAGGAGGGGAAAAGAGAGAAAGAAGAACTGGATGTAGGGTTGGAAGGAAAAACCTGCTTCTTCTGCCTGACTTTCTGAGTTCGGTGATAGGCGCTGTACGTATCTTTTTTTGCTTAGCCCATGTGTGAATACTAGGCCACCCTGACCAGGAGGTTGATCATTAAGATTTCAATATTTAAAGGACTTTTCAAGCTTTCTCGTTGAAATGCATACAGTGGCCCTTTAAAGATGCCACGACGCTTGTTCCGCCCATATTGCAGATTCAACTGAAACTGAATCCTTGCCTAACATTGTCTAATGAGATCTTTGCAGATGTAATTTTCATATTCAGGGTACGATTTGGTTCCTTGTTCTCCTTTTTAAAAGATGTGTTTGTTTGCTTGTGTTTCCATGGTGGTAGACACTGGTGCAGTCCAGGTGCAGAAAAGGGAATGTGGGAAGCTGTTCTTATTAAAGCAGATTATTTTCAGCCCAGGTTTGTTGAAGTAAACTGACAGGATTCTGCTGGTGGCTAATTCTCGTTACCTGTAAACTGATGGTTTGGAGTTGTAATTGGGGCCATGTGAGGATGATGTATGCCCTGATGGTCAAATCTTGGAGAACTTGTCCTCAAATCTAAATAACAATATTGGATAGATACAACAATTGAATTGATTTAGTACAATGATACTGTACCAAAGCCATGACACAAAGTTAAAATTGATGTACTTTTCAAGAAATATACCGTAGTCATTGAATTGGAGGAAAGGCAATTATTCAGTGTGTCAAAGTTCAAAAAATAGCTAAAAAGCATTATAGAAAAGGTTATTTACTCATATTAAAGTAGGGAATTATTTGATTATGCAATTGTAGCTTCCATGTAAACATAAGATGTATGATGAGAAATACAATGAAATAATAAAAAATGGATTAAATGCCATATCACATGAGTTTTCTTCTTTCTTTTTCCTATGTGGCTCAACATCTTCACTGGAGCTGATAGTTCAGGAGCAAATGATGCAGATACAGGGGACAGGATTAATATCTTATACCCGCCAATGCCGTTTAATCAATAGACAGACATTTTGATTTTGCTTAGATACATAATGTACAAAAACTAAGTTAAAAGTAAATGTGTTTCTCACTTCATTCTAAAGATATTTTATCAGAAATAGAAAATCTGTTGTTCTCCAGGTATTATTGGAGTATAGATTCCATTATGCAATAGTGGTGAATATCTATAGCTTGGGTGTAGGATGAGGGTGGAAGTTCGTTGGTTGGTTTCTAAACGTTTCATTACCAGGCTAGGTAACATCCCCTAAATTCTGTAAAAAGGACATTCCCTAAATTTCACTAAAGATGTTACCTAGCCTGGTAACAAAACATTCAGAAAGCAACCCACAAGCTTGTAAAATGAACCTTCATTCTCAGATTCCATTATTCCTGACCACTGACCCCACTAGTTTGTGCTCAAGAATATGTGGCTCAGACAACCCCAATTAATTTCGAATATGATAGGCTATCAATGTCAAATTATGTCTGAAATAGGATTGGCTACTTCAGATGAAGGCAGGGCAAAAAAGGCTATGGAATATCTATCCTTGCTGACAAACAAGTTTTTAAAATGTAATGGCTTCCTGACATTGATTACAGTAACAGTATCATTGTTTTAAGAGAATTAAATTTACTAGTAATTGTGCTACTAATCTTATCAATAACTACAAATTGCCCTCGACTTACAACCCTTTTTTTGGCAACTATTCAAAGCTACACCACCACCGAAAAAAGGTAATATACAACCAGTCCTTGCACTTACGATTATTGCAATGGCTCCACAATCAACGTGATCAAAATTAAGGGCTTAGCAACTGGCATGGATTGTTGCAGTATTCCAAGGACATGTTTTCACCATTTGTGACTTTCCCAGCCAACAAGCAAAGTCAAACTGGCTGGAGGAAGCCAGTTTCACTTAATGACCATATCCTTCACTTATCCGCAGTGATTCACTTAAGAGCTGTAGGAAAAAAGATCATAAAATCAGGCATGACTTTCTTAATTGTCTTACTTAGCAATGAAAGTTTCGGGTCCAATTGTCATAAGTCAAGGGCTACCTGTAAACTAATTGTTTTTATGTAATTCATAGACAGACAGACAGACAGACAGACAGACAGATAATAGATACTAATATTTATTATTTGTCTTATAGAATTCTCCAAGCTTGCTGTTTTGAAGTTTCTGGATAAAACATTATACGACGCACTTTGAATTAAAAATACAAGACTTTCCACACTCCTTAAAATGGCAGATATTCCAAATGGAAACTTTTGCTCTCTTAAGCCTCTTGAACTGTTTGAACAAATAGCTGCACAAGGAGAAAATGTCAGATCATTGAAATCCAAGAAAGCACCAAAGGTAAAGCAGTACTTTGTTAGTTGAAATTTTTATTTATATGTATATGTATCTGTGTGTGTGTGTATGTGTTTCACTCATTCATTCATTCATTCTGTGGAATCCACCTATATAAACATTTTAATAATTGCCTTGTAATAAAATTGTGTTACTACAAAATATTGAGTATTGAATTGTGTGGGGGGGTTGTCTGTCATCATGCCACCATAATTGAATTTTAAGTTTCTTGATAAAATATAGTATTAAATCCAGAGCATTTCTTCTGTAAGCAAAAGTGCTCCTTATATTGTTCAAAGTGATTGAAAACCATCAAAGACTTTCACTGGACTAGTGAAAATTTTCTCTGATCCAGCTCTGTCCTTGGCTTCATTTCATCTAGTCACAAATAGTACTTGGATGAAATTGTCACAAACAGATGACTTACTTGTCTGCCCCCTGAGTCTCTCAAACCTTTTTCTTATTCCCCAGCAAGTTAATTACTAGTAAAAATGACAAAATGAGCAAGAACAAATTTAGAATTCATCATAGGATTTATTCAGTGACAATGCAATGTGTAAAGATTTTTTTGTTGTTTGCTTTCCTTTACTTAATATCTGTCTAGCCTATTTTCAATTGCTAAATCTTTACTGTAGATTTAGTAAAAAAAAAATTTTTTTTTACTAATGTTAAAAAAAGTTCTGCATTACATTCTATGGATAGTAGAACATAGTAAATGTTCTGCCTTACATTCTATGGATAAAATCAGTCAAATCTGTTCCAATCTAGATGAAATAGTTTTAACAGAATCTGTAAGAGCTGTAACCAATGAATGTATTATCTGTTCTAAGATGGATACAGTCTTGCGTTGTACAACTTAAGGTTGTGAATTAGCTGCTTAGAAAACTGAGAATTGCTACCTGCCCTTCGGATCTTTGCCCATTGTGGCATATGAAATCTTCCAAGCCTGAAGCAATTAGGTATATATTAGTATTAGTAAACATCTCAGTAATCAATGAGTTCCACTGTGATGGTGTGGTAGGAGAAGGCTGAGTGAAGTCAAAGATTTTGTGAAGGGGGAAATAACTTACTCCCTAGTGAAGAGTTTTTAAATGGAAAGCTTTTGTCTTACCAGAGACTAAAGGAAAAATCCTCCCCATATCTCTCAGACCCATGCAAAGAGTTATTTTTCTACCTTAGTCTCACAGAAACCCATTCAGGTTCTTGTATAACCCTACAGTTCTATAAAATCCAGGTTGAAAAATCTTAGACTGGATGTTATCAGGAATTTGGAGAGGGAAATGAAATTTTTCATTAAGTAGCAGACAGGAAGCTATTTTGCTCACTCTACCTCCAACTTTCATTCACTCGACCTAAAGGAAACTTAGGCTCAGGATTGTGCAGTTTGTGCTCCAACTATAACATGTCAGATATGATGCTCCAATAGGCGTGTGTGTGTATGTGTGTGTGTATACAATGCTTCCCCGAAAATAAGACCCTGTCTTATATTTTTTTGAACCCCAAAATAAGTGCTTGGTCTTATTTTCGGGGAGGTATTATTTTGGGGTGCGTGAAGGAAACCAGACTAAATAGCAGCAACCGGCTGTGCATGCATTTAAATATTTTCGGGGAGGGCTTATTTTCAGGGGGGTCTTATTTTATTGCATGCGCTCAAAAGCCCAATTGGGCTTATTATCAGGGGACGTCTTATTTTAGGGGAAACAGGAGCCTGAGTGGCGCAGCAGACTAATGCTACTGTTAAAGGTAGTATTTAGCTTCCAGCTGCCTGCAATTACTGCGAGTTCAATTCTCACCAGTCTCAAGGTTGACTCAGCCTTCCATCCTTTCTAAGGTAGGTAAAATGAGAACCTGGTTTGTGGGGGCAATAAGCTGACTTTGTATAAAATATACAAAAGTATGAAGGCTATTGCTTAATGCCTTGTAAGCCGCCCTGAGTCTCCGGAGAAGGGCGGCATATAAATCAAAATAAAATAAATAAAAATACATACATACAGGAGTGAAA